GGGGTTAAAATAAAAAAGGGATTAAAATGTCAAAAATTATTAGAAAAAAATATTAAAAAAAGAAAATAATTATAAAAAAAGAAATAAACATTAATAAGATAAAAAAATTATAAAAAATTGAAAAAAAGTAAACGACAAGCTAAAAGTGATAAAAAAGTAAAAAAATAAAACTGACCCTGCCACCCCTGCCATCCGGTTTCCATTCTCCGTTGATGTGGGGGGTTGGCGGGGAGGGGGGCGCATTGCAGAACCTGGCTTTGGGGCAGCAGGGAGAGTAAATCCAGCCCTGCTAATCCCCCAACTAGGCACCCTAATTATTGGCCCTTCATATACTGCATTATACGGTATGTCAGGACAAGAAACATGCATATTCCCGCATGTATTATCCATTTAAAAAGTACAAAGCAATAAGTGTTGGGGGCTGACAACACAAACGGTTTTTATGGACTAAAACCACAAAAAAAATGGTGTCAGCCCTGCCTAGTTGTCTTTTACTAAACTACCGAATCCCTTGCCCTATTATGAGGGTAATTGTTCTGTAGACCAAGGATAAGAACTAGGGGGGCTGATTAGACTCCTTGAGATAACATAGGCACAAGCGAACAGGACGCTCTTATTGAATAGCTATAACAGAACACTTTTCGTCTATGTAGATTGTAGACCCAAGGAGTTCGTCTTGAGGGTCTACATGCACCTTGAAGGGTCTACATGAAAAGTGTTTTTATTGCTTTCTGTAATTGTTCCCCCGCTTCCTGTTTGGTAGAATGTTGTCAGGTTGTGTCACAGCACTCTGAAAACCCAACCAATGGGACCGCTAGCTCGCTGCTTCTGGTTCCTGTTACTGTTTATAGGCGAATTCGCCTTCACATTGGTGGCCCAATAGACTTCTCCTATGGGGACTGATTCCATGTAAGGGATAACAAGGACCTGAGGAGGTGAGCTTAGGGTACCGCTGCCCTCCGGGCACTCCGAAAACCCAACCAATGGGACTGCTAGCTCGCTGCTTCTGGTTCCTGTTACCTATTTTAGGGGAATTCATCTTCACAATGGTGGCCCAATAGACTTCTCCTATGGACACTGATTCCATGTAAGGGATAACAACTGAGGAGGTGAGCTTACGGTACCGTTGCACTCCGGGCACTCCGAAAACCCAACCAATGGGACTGCTAGCTCGCTGCTTCTGGTTCCTGTTACTTATTTTAGGCGAATTCGTCTTCACAATGGTGGCCCGATAGACTTCTCCTATGGGGACTGGTTCCATATAAGGGATAACAGCTGAGGAAGTGAGCTTACGGTGCCACTGCACTCGGTGCACTCCGAAAACTCAACTAATGGGACTGCTAGCTCGCTGCTTCTGGTTCCTGTTACCTATTTTAGGGGAATTCATCTTCACAATGGTGGCCCAATAGACTTCTCCTATGGGAAGAGTCTATTGGGCCATAGACTCTCCTGTGGGAAGAGTCTATGTTAGTAACAGGGACCTGAGCAAGTGAGCTTACGGTACCATTGCACCCCGGGCACAGTTTTCACAGAGCTGTATCTTGGAAAGGACAACATGGAGGTACGTGTGATTAACACATGACCCTTACCCAACATGGTCCACCATCAAGGCCATTCCTGGTGTTCTCCTTGAAATTCTATCTAAGGCCTTGCTGTATCATTCGTCCTTTAGGTCTCTACAAGGCCATCCTGTTGACTTGACCTTTTTCTTTGTCTTCAGAGTGAAGATAACCCCTCCACGGTTTATGAGCTGGCCGGTCCCATCAGAATGGCTCAATGAGAAGATCCAGTCCATGGTGAGAAGACACACGTGGAACAATCCTATATTAGTTGGAAGTCATCTTGCCGTCAGAAGAATATGGTGAATGCCAATGTTGACCTCCTTCTAGACCAACCCACTTCCTTAAGTACTCCGTGACTCATTGGACCCAGGACAAGCATGTACATGAGGGCCTCTGTCTACTCATTCTGGGTCAGTGACTCAGACCGGAAGCCACCGGGCGAGTATGTCAACCAGTCAACTGGAACCGGCAATGGAAGCCATAATGCTCTCTCATGACCGGGTTCCTATAATGGGGCCAGGACTGTACAGGACTGTGACTTTAGATGACCATACTCAGGGCTGGATTCAGACCATCACGGGCCTGGCGCTGCCGGCTGGTCGGAACAGGAGGTAGCAGAGACGGCTCTCTGGGGCTTTGTGGGGTGGCCACCTGGTATGCCTGATTAGGCAGCCCCCATGCTGATTGTGTTCAGCCCGGCCGGCCCGGATGGCCATTGGGCAAACTGAAGCGTTCCGAGCTGGCCGGGCATATTTTTCAGTGGTGGGCTCCGGTAGCCCCTATGTGAATCCGGCCCTGAACATACTAGAGGAGTCCATGACTAGGGTGAGCCAAGCTGTCCCAGGTCAAAGTGGAGGGAGGACCAGTACAGAAGACATTGTGCTGGCCCGGCAGTGCCCCTTGTAAGTCTTAATGAACTGCAGCAGAGAAAAGTCAGGTCTCCTTCCCTACTGTGTGGCAGAGCTGTGTAAATCTCAGGACTGGATGGACAGAAATACAAACCCTTATCTAGAAGCAGCTCCTGCATATTATTTTGATGATCTATTCTTGGACCTGTTTTTGCTTTCGGTATCCACGTTACTCATCCGGAACATCTCAGGTTGTTAAATTTCCAGACCGACCCACTTCTTCCACCTCCGCGGCAAGAACATCAAAGAGCGCTTGTTTTTTTTATTGTCGGGCGTCACGAAAGTTCTTTGTTGCGTCATTCAGACCGGCAGAGCCGACCGATCCGACATAACAACATATTACTCTGAGCTGAGGACGCTCTCCTAGTTTTAGTGTTTACTCCAAAAAGTTCAAAGCTGCCGAGAGACTCGAGAAGAAACCGAACTTCACCCACGCCCATCACATGACCACGAGCCGCCCCGCGTGACAGCGCCGGTCACAGAGGTGGAAAACAAACGCCGCGTCTGATGACAAATGACGAGCGACAGAAATACTTTCCACCGGAATCTTCCCTTTGTTTATAGAGCGATGAAGGATTCATTCTCCATTGTCTGATGTGCCGCCACCAAGAGGCTTGACGCATTTTAAAAGCACAAACAGTGCCCATTATGAGGGGCCCCCACCATCCCTGTGCTGAGCTCCCGGGTCTGTACACCCGCTGTGCCCATTATGAGGAGCTCCCCCCATCCCTGTGCTGAGTTCCCGGGTCTGTACACTCGCTGTGCCCATTATGAGGAGCTCCCCCCATCCCTGTGCTGAGTTCCCGGGTCTGTACACTCGCTGTGCCCATTATGAGGAGCTCCCCCCATCCCTGTGCTGAGTTCCCGGGTCTGTACACTCGCTGTGCCCATTATGAGGAGCTCCCCCCATCCCTGTGCTGAGTTCCCGGGTCTGTACACTCGCTGTGCCCATTATGAGGAGCTCCCCCCATCCCTGTGCTGAGTTCCCGGGTCTGTACACTCGCTGTGCCCATTATGAGGAGCTCCCCCCATCCCTGTGCTGAGTTCCCGGGTCTGTACACTCGCTGTGCCCATTATGAGGAGCTCCCCCCATCCCTGTGCTGAGTTCCCGGGTCTGCACACCCGCTGTGCCCATTATGAGGAGCTCCCCCCATCCCTGTGCTGAGTTCCCGGGTCTGTACACCCGCTGTGCCCAGTATGAGGGGCCCCCACCATCCCTGTGCTGAGTCTGTACACCCGCTGTGCCCATTATGAGGGGCCCCCACCATCCCTGTGCTGAGTTCCCGGGTCGGTACACGTGCTGGGCCCATTAATGATCAGTCCTCTGTATATGTCGGGTGGTTGGTGACTCATGTTGATGGTTCTATATTAGTCATGGCCGGCGGGTGTCTGGACCACAAGGTCAGGGACGAGAGATGAATCAGTTATTGTTCTCCGGTGAACTCCACCAATTCTCCATATGAATCGTCAGTCCAATATGGCCCCCCCGGATGTCAAGTCTGAAGTCAGCTCCGCCCACTGTGTACAAAGCAACCAATAAGAAGTGCAATAATGACTCCTCCCCTTCTCCCCCGTACAGACTTCGTTCTGCTTTTCGGTCATTTATACAAATTATATTCTTGATTTT